CAGATTGGCCTGTGACTCCTTACAAGGTCCATGAGGATCAATCCCCTTTTGGCAACACCGAACCCATTGTAAATGAGGTACACTGTTTCCCATGGCTTGGTGAACTGGCCTTGCACTGTACAAGGAGCATTGAAAGGAAAGAGACATAGCCACATCCAACTTTGTTCTTCATGATCTGACATGGACCTTCTTAGGGCAGGAGTATTTTGCACTCTGTGCAGCACAGCAAGCCCTTAAGCTCAACGTGCTTTGGGATGTTAACAACATGAAGTGTCTGTTTTCAATTGCTGAGACCAGAGAGCTGTATGTGCTTGATACAGCTCTTCTGCATCTTCATGCTCCCTGTGGGTCACAGCTTTTGCTTCTCTCCTTCCTCTCCTTCAATCACATCTGTTCTCAGCATCAGCAGTTTGTCTCTCTGGTGAAACCTGTTGCTCCACCTCTGTACCTGCTGCCTCATGACTTTGCTGCTCCTGAAATAGTGGATGGGAGCTTGTTGCTCTGATTAAGACCATCTGTACCTGAATGCCTCCATGTCTCCAAGGCTATTCCATCTCATGGGCCAGGCTGGCCACGGGCATGCTGTGGTGCAGCTAAAACAGCCATTGATAAACCAGCCCCAGGGTAGCACAGCGACCTGGGCCATGTCTGCTGAAGGAGTAACTCTTAACTTGCATCACCTCGGCATGAATTCTAGAAGCAGCTTTGCTTGTACCTGTGTATAAGGATAAAAACTGTCTGTGTCCAAGAGCAGCTGTGAGACAAAAGGGAGAAGTTAATCTTCCCAGACATGAGCCAGCTCCATGGTCACACAATTAATGTTTTACTCTTGGGGAATTTGGCATTCAAAGCCAGGTAATCAGGGCTTCAGAAGAACTGTGGGAGAGACAGGTGGTAGTGGCTGGGGTGGATGTGTGTGCAGGCAGTGAGGGAGCTCTACCCCAAGGACTTGCAGGATGGGGAAGGTCCTCTCTCTCGGGTTCACCTCCTGAAGTGGAGGCTTGCACAAGGGACAAGTTGTGCAGAGGAAGAGCCTGCTTGGCTTAAGGCTAGTGGTTACGTCACTTGAATTGTAGGAAGACTGAATTCATGCTCTTCCTCTGTTTTAGACCTTAAATCCACTCTGCTCTGACAGGAAGCCTGGAGCATGCTGTCTTCTTTCTCCTCCTCTCTTGAGGCTGTTTCATTTTGTATGTAGTATTATCTGGGCCAGAGCATAGGGGACCTAAGGAAACAATTGTGATGGGAAGGCTGCTTCAGTCTCTAGGCTGTGTTTCTGTGGATATAGCTGCACGCAGAGTTATGGAATAGAGCATTATCAGCAGTAATACCAAGGTAAAGGGCCTTTCTCAGCCAAAACTAACTAACTAAGTACATAAAGACTTCAGGCATTGCAAGCATTCAGCAGCTGCTAAAGAAAGGGTGGCTAATCTGAAATTTGGACAGACACCTAAATTGGCAGGCTGGAGTAAAATTCCTGTTGCAGGTGTGGTGGTGTAACAAGGCAAATGTGTATGTCCAGCTGGCTGTGTAAGGTCTCAGAAGCCAACCCACTAAAGGGAAAAACTTGTAGACTGTGGTGCTGCATGACAGGCCCCTCTGATTGGAACTAAGCAAACTGAGTGATCCAGTCACCACATCTTCCCCTGGGATCCTCATCCCCCTGCAAAACACAAGGGGTGTGGGGGGAAGACACTTTGATTCCACGAGAAGCCATTGCAGCTTGCAGGGGAATGATCTGTGGCTGCAGAATCTGGGTTTGCCAAAGGACTTGCAGCTGTGGCTGGAGCACAGTGTGACAGCCAGGGGGGCAGAGCAAGCAGGATTTCAGAACGGGACTTTTATTGCCCACACTCAACTCACAGCACCTGGTCTTTGTATGGAAATGCTAGCCAAGCCAATTTTGTGGTGCTGCTCTATTTTAGAAATAACAAAGATTGAGTCAGTCCAGATGAGACTGTGTCAGGATTTTCTGGAGGAGATGAACCCTCTTTGTATTCCTGACATCCACAGAAAGGGAAAGCTTTAGAGCCAGAGGGTGAGCTCACACAATTGCTGTGAATTTTCTTACACAGATGTGCTCCCTTTTCCTATCCTGCAAAACCACCACTGGAATTAACTTTTCCCAAGTGGTGTAAGAAACTATTAGAGGAAACATGTCACTCTCAGCCTGGCCCTGGAAAGCGAAGGGAAGCTCATCAGTCACAGGTCTAGGAAAATCCTTGAATCTTTCCCTCTCATTGAATTGATTTTTGTTTTTCCTTGTGCAAACATTATTGGAGAGTAACAAGCACCTTGAAGGTCGGGTGAGTGTAAAGATCTCATCTCTCTTGTGAATGTGTAAGTTGATAAGGTGTGTGCATAGCACAGGTTGCAGCTCCCTGGGGAAAATACCCTCTGGAGAGGGAGAAAGAGGAGAAGGTGATGGACTCAGTGTGGAAATGGGGAGCACATTTAGTACAGAAAAACTGTGAGTTTGCAGCAAGACCTGGATAAATAAAGTTATAAGTAGAGATGAAGCCAGGCCCGGCTGTTGCAAGGGCTGACTGTGGATCTTATGAGTTGGCCTTCCAGTAGTTGAAAGGAGCTTGCAAGAAACATGAGGAGATACTTTTTACAAGGGCATCTAGAGATAGGACAAGGGGGAATGGCTTCAAACTGTCAGAGAGTAGGTTTAGATGAAATATTAGGAAGAAACTTCCCTGTGAGGGTGGTGAGGCCCTGGCACAGGTTGCCCAGAGCAGCTGTGGCTGCCCCTGGAAGTGTTCAAGGCCGGGTTGGACATGGCTTGAGTGAACCTGGGATAGTGAAAGGTGTCCCTGCCCATGGCAGGGGAGTGGAACAAGATGAGCTTTAAGGTCTCTTTCTACCCAAAGCATTCTGGATTTCTGTGTTTTATGGAATAGACTCATGTTGCTTTCAGTAGTAGCCCTTTTCCCCTACCTGACAGGGGTGGAGTCACTGCTGTGCACTTTGTCTGCCCTCGAGGTGTAAGTGAGCAGGGTTGGAGCTGGTTTTTGACCTGCACTTAGACCTGCACTTGCCTCTTGCATCTCCTGCTCACCTGCTGGATTCTGACCTCCAGCCTGCTTTGCAGTGTCTTCTCTGAAATGGCTTTTCAGGTCTTGGTCTACCTCTGATCAGTAAATAGATTTTTTTTTTTAAAAGACCTGCTGCAGAGGCAAGTGCTGTTCTTGAAGGATAAGGAGCTTGGGTGAAGCCTTGAGCATTGATGGTATCTCCATGCAGCTGCTCTCCATAGCCAAGCCCTACTGCCCTGGAGCCATCCTGGCCAAACTCCTCATCCTGCTGATCCTCCAACAAATGGGGGGTTCTGAGGGAACACTGTGAATTGGGGATACTGAGTTTATGTGGGATTAGCAGGACAGGGATGGTCTGTGCCTCCCGTGAACTTTCCCCGAGCCCAGGAAAGCAGGGCAGGGCAGTGGGATCTCAGTTGAGGGCTGGGAAGGGCTGAAGGGGATGAGCATGTGATGAAGGAGGGACTTGGGACATGGGGATGCTACACAAAGAGGAACACCTTCAGTGGAGAGGAAGCTGGAGGAGATGCAGTGTGGAGTTGGTGCTCCTCCAAGGCGGTCTCCTCATCTTCCCTGTGGAGGCTGGGTGAAGGCTGCAGCCGTGGCTGTTGGCTTTCCTGGCATTTATGTAAATGGTGTTTCTGTCACAGCTGCTCAGATCAGCTCACTCCAGTGTCCTCTGGCCATGTCTGGAGGCACTGTGGGAGGAGGGCAGAGTATATATTGCCAGGGCTCAAACACCTCATACCTGTAGCTTTAAGGTGGTGGTCTCCTTGGAGCATCTTCCTTTGATGTGGGGAAGGTTGAGAATTTCTGACCTTTTGCTCTTGCTCTGCAATTGTACTGTCCACATCCAAGGATGTCTGTTTTCCAATATCCACTGCCCCAGCTCTTATCTCCAAGGTCCCTAATGCACGCAAGCAGGGCATGGAGTGGCCTCTTGACAGAAACAGAGCTGGATCAAAGTAGAGCCTACATCTCTGGAGCTAATGGGTCTTTCTTTTGCCATGGAACAAGTAAGATGCAGAGGGGCAAAACTCCTCTATCAAATTGACTCCAATTCTCCCTGAGGCTGATGTCCAGTAGTCTCTGTGCCTTCTTGGCCAACGTTAACACATTACTGTCTTTTATAAGATCCACATGTACCTTGAGAAATGTGGTTTGGAAAAGGTTCCTATATCACATCTGCTTGGCAGCAGCCAAATTAAGGTAGTCTCTAATCGGAAGTGTTTTGCTGCCTTCTGGGATATCCTGGAAGATATTTATTTTAGTGAAGTGAAACCTAAAAGTCTGTCCTTTAGGGTGCAGCTGCAGCACTGAGGGTCTAAGAAATGCCTGCAGATTAAGGAATTTGGCAGAAAGTGGAAAATACTCTCCACCATAGTTGTGCAGACACATACATGTGCATGGATAGACATATATAGGTATATCCCTGTGTGGGAGAGGCATGTACCTGGTGTGAGAGGGGAAGCAGAGGAAGTGCAGCCATTATATTTATAGTTGTGCCTTCTTTATGAGTGTATCAGTAGTTGCATTTGCTTCTCCCAAAGGTACAGGACGGTGTCATCTCCAGACCCAAGGGCAGGCTCTGCAGCACCAGAAACACATGGAGTTTCTACAGTTCTGCTTGCTGTGACCTTCTGGGCCGCCAGGGAAATACAATGGAGTCCTGCCAGCTTTGTGCGATGAACCGTCACTTGCCAGGACTCTCTCCAGGCTTCCTGAGACACTGAGTTGCTGCTTGAGGTCCTGACTGCTTCTGATTCCTCACTGTGCTGCTGGCAGGCTGGGATTGATGTCCACTTTGGGACACTGGGCAGAGCCAAGCCCATCACCATCCTCTGTGCCTTTGGCAGACTGGGGGACCAAGCTGGATCCCTCTCTCTAAAGGGGTTCCAAGTGAGCAAGGGACAGGCTTGGGTCTGTCCACATTCACTGTGGTGGGAAGAGCCACCTCCTTCACCCTTTCCACTTGGGAACCGTGTCACTGCTGGGGATGGCACTGCATGGACGCAGAGCAAGGGTCAGCAGCCTGGCAGCAAGGCACTAGCTGAGCCTGAGCACCACCACAGGGCACGGAGCTGCCCGGGGGGTGCCAGCATCCCCAGCACGGACGCGCTCCGGGGATGTAGGTGCCGGGCGCGGGAGGAGCTCCGGCACGATGGGCCGGCTGGACGACCATGCCAAGAGGAGAATCGTGGAGCTGCGCAGGGCTGGGCTGAGCTTCCGCAAGATCAAGAAGGTGCTGGAGCTGGATGACATCCGAGTGACGCCGCAGGCCGTGTACCTCTTCCTCAAGAGGAAGAGTGTGGAGCCGGGGTCAGCGGCAGCCGGCTGGGATGGGGAGCAGCCCTGGCAGGGCCATGAGGCTGAGCTCCCCAGGCTGCTGGGCACCCAGCACCCTGCACTGCCCACGGGGGATCCTGTGGGCAGCCAGGACACCAAGGAAGGCATCCAGATTGTCAGCGTGGCCTCACTCTGCAAGGACGGTGGGCAACTTGGGGACACTTTGGCTATGGAGCTGGCCCCTGGAAATGGTAAGGCCTGGCCCCACTGGGGTTTACCATGGCCACTGCCTGGCAGTGCTGGGCTCATGAAAGGGCCCTATTCCCCACTGGAGACCCCCCCAAGGGTCTTTTTTTGAGGTATTTCTCTCTCTGTTGTTGCAGGTGATGACAGCTCCACAGGCACAGCCCTGGCTCCAGGGACTGCTCTGAGGGACCTTGCCCCCCTGCCCCAGACACTGCCCAGCCAAGGGCAGCTGGTCACACCCCCCACCCAGAACTCAGCTCTGATGGTGAAAAAGAAGACAGTGGACAGGGCTATCCTCCTGCAGAAAAAGGTAGGATGGCAGGATGAGAGAGTCCATGTGCTCCAGCCAGGAGCTGCTGCCATCCGGCCAAACCTGTACAGAACCCTGCTGTGTCTACATAATGTGTTGGGGCAGGCTTCTGAGGGTGAAGGGCTTCCAGAGTGCCCCCAGCCTCTGCTAGCTGCACTCCCCAGCAATGCTAACCCTGGCACTTGGCAAATATATCTGGGAAGCCCCTCTGGGTGGGGGTGAGGCCACGCACGCACCTGCCTCCAGCCAGCACCCACTGCTGGCCATGGAGATGCCAGTCACGCCATGCTTGGCCTCCAACTGGCAGCTCCAAAACCTGTTTTTAAGGCTTGGTGCCAGTACCATCTCAGGAAGTTCTACCAGCCACCCAAGGCTATAAATCAAAATCCAGGGTATGTTGTTTCTGTCTGTGCAGAGAGTAAACACAAGCCTGGCATCAGCATGGGCAGCCCCACTGCTGTACAGTGGCACTCACCAGGATGGATCAGCATCTGCTAACAACATGGTGCACCAGGGGCTCCGATGGAGCAGCAGCTTAGGGGCTGGGTGGGGCTGAAGAGCAGAACATGGTGAGATCTAGAGGTCTGCAGCAAGGTGATGTCTTTCTCTGAGAGCCCTTCTCTGAGCCTTGTGGCTAAGTGCAGAATGAATCCCATGTTAAATGCCCTTGAACAGGCAGCTGATAACATTTCACATTCCCTTCTCTCCTGCCTCCCACTATTCCAGGTCAAAGATGCCAGCACTCAGACGGCCTTGCCAGACTCTGTGGGTCTGGGCAATCCCAGCCTTGCTTGCAGCGGAGCAGTGCCCCCCCCTGCTCCCAGCTGCCCTGCCATCACCGAGAGGCTGGATGCTGTGCAGGTGGAGGTGCAGAAGCTGAGCCAGGCCCTGCATGCGGTGCTGGAGCGGCAGTGCCACCTGGAGCGCCAGCAGGAGCAGCAGCAGCGGCTGCAGCAGGAGGTGCTGGTGACACTGCAGCAGCTCAGCTCCACCGTGAGCCACAGCACTGTGCCTGCCACCCAGCCCTGTGGGCCCTTCAGCAGCATGGCCGAGCCCTCGGCCATCATGCCAAACTTCAGCCAGTTCAAGATGGAGCTGATCTGAGCTCCCACAAGGCCTGTGTGTGCCGGCAGGCCTGTGCTAATGGAGCCAGGAGGAAGAACCATCTCTCAGAGGCTGCCCAAGGATTAAGGTCCATGCAGCACCCAGCAGATAAGGTCCCTGATGCCTCATCTTCCCAGCCCTGCTGACTGGAAGGGGCTGCCTGGCACAAGAGGCTGGACAGTGGAAGGCTGAGGCCTTGCTCCTCCTGTGCTGCTGATCCTGGCTGGCACTGGAGCTGGCTGGGGCCCATGGACCTCAGGAGAACGCAGTTGCCTGCAAGGAGAAGATGCAGCTAACATGGACACAGCAGGGAGGTGGGACTCCAGGGATACAGGGCGCTTCCTTCTCTTACGGGTCAATGCCACGATGATCAATCTTGCCCTTCCCTCCACAGGAGCTTGTTCAGTAAAAATCTGTCTACAGCACGGTGTAGAACCAGTGTGGGATCAGTATCTGTGTATTCCCTACCCCTCACCCAGCCAGTGAGCAGGCTGGAACTGTCTGGGTCCTATCACCATGCATGGAACTGCACAGGGTGCAGAAACCTGTGAGGTGAGATCAGTGCTCCACACACAATGTTGCTGGAGCCTGGTATCATCTGCTGCACCATTAGGGATAGATCAGACTTGTAGGAAACAATCTTTTACTGAGCAGATTCCACTCTCCACACCCCACAGATCTAGAGTCTGGTACTGCTGCTGCCCACTGTCTGGTGAGGTATTGGCAGGACTGTACCAGTAAGAGTTGCACCTGGGCAGGAGCTGATTAACTGGGTGTTTAGCTCTCCTCTAACTGGTTTTCCTCCTGGTTCTCCCTAGTGCAGGCTGCTGATGGTGCAGTGCTGCTCTAGCAGAGCAGGTCATGATGCTGAGAACCCCCTTCCCTGCACCAGAAGGGCACGGAGGAGCCTGATGGGCCCTCGCTGAGCAGTGGAGTCCAGGAGGACCAGAGACTGGCCTTGGCTGCCAGCAGGAAAGGTCTGATGGGGGTGGCCTTGGCTCAGCAGCCAGTAGTGAATCCCGAGAGGAGGCAGAGCACGTGTCCTTCCTCCACATCAGCCAAGCAGCTTCTGTCTGCGCGGGCACCACGCTCGGCACAGCCTGTGCCTATGAGAAGTTCCCAGCCTGTTTCTGAGGGCTCTTTGAGTCAAAGGTCAAAATTAAGAAGGGTAAAAACCAACAGAAGTGTTTGTACATAGACACACACACGGAGCTGTACGCACGGGCACAGATGTAGATGCATGTGGCAGGTCTGTGCAGCAGCCCCAGAGCCTGGGGGAGCTGGACACCTGCTCTGCTGCCCCAGACACATTGCTGGCCCCAGGGCTGTCAGATCCAGCTGTGCCCAGGGGAACTGGAAGTCTGCTGCCATCTGCCTGCAGTCACTCATTTGGATGTTGGTGTAATTTTCGGGATGTCTGAAAAGCAACAGATGAAAAAAAACCACATAGTCAGTTGCTCTGCTCTTTTGCACAAGGCAGCTAATCTGCACCTCAGGTTTGAAAAGAAGAGGCTGGATGATCAGCACTCAGCAGGCACAGTTCCCTAATGTCTCTGTTAACATTTCAGAGAAAAAGAGGAGCAGAACAACTGCTATTCCCTGGCACGTGTACTTAAAACCACGCTGGTTTCTGAAAGAGCTTCCCTAAATCTGACTTGGGCTATTTCTTAAATTATTAAAAAAAAAATATATATATATACTGGGTTTTCTATTCTCCAAATGTATTCTAAGAACCTTCCTCATTTCTAACTCTTGCACATCTGCCCTTTATCCAGTGCTAAAAAAACCCCAGTAAAAATTAATAACAACAAATCACTTGGGCTGGTTAAATAACCTATCCACCATAACATTTATTTCAGACAGACATACAGCCTGAGTGTTCAGCTGCTGTTTGCCTCCCGACCATATTGGGGAACACTAAGTTAGTATTTAATGTGGTGTCATGTTGTAACACAGAAGGTGTTTCCCACCAAGGTCATCCTAAGGTGTCTGTCATTTCCATCGTGCTCCAAGGAAGAGCTCTTCCCTGTGGCCACAGCATCATCTGTTGTGTGCCACGTGCCTTCAGCTTTCTGCTCTCCCACCACAGCATGTTGTCAGTACCACTGATGGCCCTTACACTGCACCTGCTGCCATTCCCAGCATCATCCAGGATTTACTGGTGTTATCCCAGCCTCCTGCAGAACCTGCAGTCTGCTCTGACAGAAACAGAGGCTTTGTGAAAAGGAAGGGACTTCAGGGATGAGGAGCAGCATGTTGAACAGCCTGAAGGCAGTGTAGGTGTTTAGCTGAGTAAAGAAGCAGGTCTCTGTGAAGCAGTTACAGAGAGGAGGCCCTGGGGAAGGAGAGGGTGGGGCATACACAGCAGATACAACGGTGGTTTCTCACCTCTTGATGAAATAAAAAGCCAGGCCGACAAAAAATAACAGGAGCAGGAGAGATCCCATAACAAACAGGGAAATTTCCCAGCCCTGGAAGGAAGCTGAGGGAACAAAGCAGAGGGCAGGCATTACAGCCTTGACCTTTCCCAGCATGGGGGAGCCCCAGGAGGTCGCACAATCAGAGTCAGAGAATGTGTTGGATTGGGCCAGGTTGGGTTGAATTGAAAGGAACCTTTAAAGGCTACCTAGTCCAATCCCCTGCCATGGACAGCAACATCTTCCACTATCCCAGGTTGCTCCAAGCCCTACCCAACCTGGTCTGGAACACTTTCAGGGATGAGGCACCTACAGTTTCTCTGGGCAACAATAGGTTGGGCTGTCTCAGCTTCCCACTCTTTTTCCCCTGCTAGAGCCCTTGTGACATCCCACCTCTGGACAGTTCCAGCCTGGGTGCCAGTAGCTGCTCCCAGCAATTGAGCCTCTGTGTGAGCAACAGGTCCAAAAGCAGGGCCTCCCCACAGAAGGCCAGTGGCTTGCCCACATGTGCCCTCTCCTGTAGAGATGTCACCTGACCCTGGTCCCAGCCCTGCTCACTGTGCTGGAAGCAGAGCCCCTCCTACTTACCACCACTGTGTGACAGGAATGGCATATTTTTGGGGGTGACACACTCAGGACTGGTTTTCAGAACTCTCCCATCCATGGAGAAGGGATGGGGGCTGGCCAGGAATCCCTGGAGACAGGTTTTGATGGATTGCTCCTGCTCTGGCTGCAGACCCCACACCTGGCCCCAGACCTTCATCAGTGAACACACATATTTCATGTTAAGCTCTGCCAAGAAACAACAGTGCATTTTGGGTGGTCAGAAACCCTCTGGTGTCAGGGATCACACTGCTCCCATGACTTTGTGCCCTCCTGCTCCCATGCTCTTCACCTTTCTCCCCCCCACTGCTCTGAAATCATGCTGCCATGCTGCATCACAGGTAACTTGAGCACATGCTCAACCTTTCTTTTGGTGACAAAAAGGATTTGAGGTTGTCATCCCACCCAAGAGAATACTTTTTACTACACTTTGTATCTCTACCCACTGCTCAGAATTGACTGAAATTGTTCAACTGGTCAAAAGGCATTTGGGTTAGGGTGTCCTGGTTTGAAAAGGAAGTGAGTTTTTTGGGATGCTGTGGTCAAACCAATAGGTGCTCAGATTTGAATATTGGCACCTGGTGTGGCCACTGAGGACATGGATACGCCTCTGAGAACACAGGGAGTTAAAGCAGAGAACGCCCAGGAGAAGCTCTCTTGGTTCAGGTGGTGAAAGGTTCAGAGCTGCCCTGCCCGGCTGCGGGCTGGGTGTGGGAGGGGAAGCCATGGGGCCGTGTGAGGTGAGCCGGGCCCTGGACAGAGAGGGGAGGTGAAGGGCCCTGAGGATGGAAGGGTGGAGGAGCACTGAGAGGCATCGGGCAGCCCCCCCAGAGAGAGAGAGAGCCTGTGCCTGTGCTTGTACCACCTTAACATTTGATATCTTGTGCGGGCAGCATGGCCGAGAAGGAGAAGAGGGTGCGGCTAAGAGGTGCCCAGCAGCCTTAAGAGAGTTCTGAGCAGGCAGAGCCTGAGATTTTAACCCTTTTCTTAAATAATAGAAACTTTACAAATGCTGATCCCCCTAGAGCTGAATGAGAAGAGAGATAGAGATGAAATAAGAAGAAATGAGCCAGTGTGATGAAAGTTTGTGCAAGTGAAAGATGCCCGAAGAAGTTAAGAAAAATCCTAAGTAAGAAGAGATGATAGAGTAGCATTTAGCTGGACTTTTCTTGTATAGCCATGGACAGAACAATTTTTCAGTGATGTTATTCTCATAAAATCACTGCACTCTCTTGGCTCTAAGCCATTGCCTCCATTTAAAGGGAGGGAATGGTTTGGAGCCAAGAGAGGGCAGTGATGTGATGTGAAGGAGTGCATGAACAGAGATGACGGGTGAGGAGGGTGGTGGTGCCCTCGATCTTCAGGGAAGAAGAAAATCTCTGTTCTTGAGACCCCTCGGCCCCAAGAGATGAATTTGAAGAACAGAAATGTCCTGAAAGTGAGAGACTGTGCTTTTTTTAGAAATGGGCAAAGCATCCTTAAAAGAAAAACCCTAAAAGCAGCTCTGGTCCATGTGCAGTGGTGAGAGCACTGGGCATGTGTCGTGGTTTCACTGACAGGAAGTAGGTTATTTTTTGGGATATGCTGTGGTCAAACCAATGGGTGCTCAGATTTTAATATTGGCACCTGATGTAGCCACTGAAGTTTGGACACGCCTCTGAGAACACACAGCGGTTAAAAGCAAAGCTGCTCCCCAGGGAAGCTCTCTTGGGACTTCGGAGGCAAAGATGTCGGATCTCCCTCCACCGTCCAGCTGCTGCTGCTGGGCGGGGAAGGGGCAGCCTGTGGTAGGCCTGGGCCTGGACAGAGATGGGGGGTGAAGAGGCTCTTGAGGATGGAAGGGTGGAGGAGCACCAAGAGACATCGGGCAGCCACCCCCACCCCGAGGAGAGAGAGAGGGAGAGCCGGCGTCTGAATTTGATAGCGGCCGGCCCCGGAGGAGAAGGGGGGAGTGCGGTGAGAAGGTGCCCGGCAGGGCAGCGTGGGAGTTCCGGAGCTCTGGGACAGGCAGAGACTGAAATTTTTAACCCTTTTCTTGCATGATAGAAACCTTGCAAATGCTGATCCTCCTGGAGCTGAATGAGAAGAGAGATAAGAGATAAGAGGGGATAGGCCATGAGGGAAGTGCAGAAGACTCTTGAGTGGGGGGAGAGATGACGGAGTGGCCTTTTGGCTGGACTTTTCTTGTGTGGCCATAGACGGAACCATTTTTTTTTCCTGTGACACAGAGATTGCATTTAGGGGGAGGCAGTGCCTCAGAACCAGGAGGGTTCATTGTGGGTACCCCTCGGCCCCAGGGGGTGAAAAATTTGGGGGGGACAGATGTCCCAAAGCAGAGACTGTGCCTTTTTTGGAGTGAGACAAAGCACCCTTGAAAGACAACCCTAGAAGCAGCTCTGGTCCATGCACAGTGGTGAGAGCACTGGGCATGGAAGGAAGGTGGCACGATGTCTATGGATTTTCCTGGTGGTGCTGAGTGACATGGAAACACACGAGGTTTTAATGTGTTTCCAGGGGAAGCCTATGGTGCAAGAAGGACTCCTCTCCTCTCCTCTTGATGAACTGAAGATTGAGTATTCTAAAGGGTGGTGCCGGACTGAGAGTTGGTGATTTGGGAGAATGTATTGCATTGGGAAATTTGGTGGGGGGGGGGGGAGGAGGAAAATGCTTTTGTAAGGTTTTCATTTTCCTTGTGTTTTTTTTAAATTTTCTTGTAGTTT